TCTTTCCCTCCCCGAATCCCTTCAATTATTCGTTTCGGCTTTGTTGGTCCGGTGTGGCAGTGCCTGGTTAATTAATTTAATTCTCGCAATGATCTCTTTCGCTATGTTGTCATCTGGTGACTTTATCCCTTCTATCACATGATTGCGACCAAACTTGCAATGGCACAGAGTGTCGGTGAAAAGATTTCTGCAAGAAAAATTCTTTTCTCTTACAGTTTTGTGATGAGATATTTTATATTTTTGCAATTAACAATTTTTCGATCTTTAAAACGATAATATTAACTTATTATTCTCACGTGTATAAGCTGATTCACCTATGTTCTCTTTTCACTGATTAAATCTGCAATGATTATAAAATGCATAAAATTGCTGTTTTGATTTATTGAAGTTCGTAAGAGCATTGTAAGCTCTCTTTATATTGATATATATATAAGTATATATTATATCATAATTATAGGAAAATCAACTTATGTATCTTGTAGCATAAAATAGCAATTGCGTGAGAAATTAAAAATCTATCTGAGCGCAAATATCTACATCATTATTTGGGCAATAAAGCCAATCGTTTCACAGACACTTTGCTGGATAATTATTTACTGACGAAGAATGACTATTATTATTATTTACATATCGCGTACTCCTTCACACAATTACGCGCATAAAATTAATACAAGTTTTCATTATAATATATGTATATATATATATATTTATATCGTGTTTATTTTTCAATAATGTCATCCTTGGATTATAATTATGTATAATCGATCGTTAACGGCTGCTTTTTAGTAAGCTTCCGGTGCAACAACATTCCTCTCATTTAACGCACGCACGAGCGTTACTTATTATTTATATATATTATCTCTAATAATTAAAATATTTAGACTCGAAAGCTAAATACGTCGACTGGTGTATAGTTAGGACTTCCGTCAGGGGATTCCGAGTATACCTTGTGTATTATTGTATTCTCTTTTTTTGTGGAAATATTTTATTCAATAAAATTTGTTTCAATAAATTTTATTGAATAAAACTTAAAAAATGTGAGTTTTCTTTTTAGGAGACGGGAGTATTTTTCACAAGGTTCGTAGATGAATTCACAAAGTATAGTCTCTATACGACAAACGTTTTCTTTTCAACGATCTACATACGATATCAATAGCGAAGTAAATGCGAAGGATCGATATCTCTTCGAGATAGGCTTAAATACTAATCAATAATGATCGTAATAATTACCTCTTATATTTCGTGAAGTAGTGTGCGAGCTCCTCTATTCGCGTATATCGAATTATTCCTTGTTTTTCTTTCCCT